TAAACACCAGAAGCCGCCAAAATTCTTTCACATTCTTAAAAAAACACCAAAGACCTCCAAAAATTCTTCCACATTCTTAAAAATAACACTAGGAATCCATCTCAAATTCTCTCACAAACTCTTAAAAATACAACATACTAGAAGGCCCAAAGATTTTTTCAAATTTTTTCAAAAATAAAACTCAAAGAATCCTCAAGATTCTTTAAAAAAAAACTACACTAAGAATCTCTAAAACTCTTTCAGACTCTTTAAAAATGAAACACCAGGAACTGTCAAAATTGACATTCTTAAAAAAATGCACCACAGACCTCCAACATTCTTTCAAATTCTTAAAAAACGACACTAGGAATCCTTTACTCTTTCAAACTCTTTAAAAAAAAACACCAAAAGCCCCCAAAGTTCTTCCACATTCTAAAAATATAGGTATATGTACTAGGAACCCCTAAGATTCCTACAAGCTGTTTAAAAAATACTAAGAGACCCCAAGATCTGTTCAAGTTTTTTCAGAAAGACTTTTCAATTCTTTATAAAAATAGAGAAGATACTTTCATTTTTTTTAAAAACCACATTATTAATCCCTATGACTCTTTCGAACTCTTTAAACAACAAAACATCAAAGGTTACCAAATTTTTTTTTTCAGAATTGGGCTCCTAAGATTCTTTCACATTTTTAAAAAAAGGAAGATATCAGGACTCTTCAAGATTATTTCAAACCACTAAATCAAAGTGCCAAGAGCCCACATTCCTGAAAAATAAGAAGACAAAGGACCCCAAGATTCTTTCATATTCTTAAAAAACGACACTAAAAATTAATCTCTTTCAAACTCTTTGAAAATACAAAACCCCAGAAGTCCCTAAGATTTTTAAAATTTGTTCAAAAATAAAACTCCAGGAGCCCTCAAGTTTTTGCACATTTTTAAAAAACGACAGTAAGAATTCCTAAGACTTTTTCCAACTGTATAAAAAATAAAACACCAAATGCCCCCAGGATCCATTCACTTTTTTTTTTTCAGAAAGGACTTGCAAGATTTTTTCAGATTCTTAAAAAAAGAAAGATACCAGGAGCCTTCAAGTTTTTTTTCTCTTTAAAAATACAAATCACCGGAAGACTTCAAGATCCTTTCAGCTTCTAAAAATATATACTAAAAACTTCTAAGACTTCGACAAGCTCTTTAAAAAACAAAACATCAAGAAAACCCCAAGATCTTTTTAAACATTTTCAGAAAGGTTTTTCACATTCTTTCTAAAAACAAGACCAGAGGCCTCCAAAATTCTTTCGAACTTTTTAAAAAACGAAACACCAAATGCCCTCAAGCTTTTTCATTTTTTTCAGAATTGGTCTATTGGTCTATCAAGGGCCTCCAAGATTATTTCAAACCACTAAATTAAAGAACCAACAATTCCCAAATTTCTTCCACATTCCTGAAAAATAAGGAGACCAAGAATCCCAAGATTCCTCCACATTCTTAAAAAAAAGGACACTAGAAATCCATCCCTTTCAAACTTTTTAAAAATACAAGACCCTAGAAACCCTCCAGGATTTTTTCAAATTTGTCAAAAATAAAACTCCAGGAACTCTCAAGATACTTTCATGTTTCTAAAAAACGATAGTAAGAATCCTTAAGACTCTTTCCAATTCTTCAAAGAAATAAAACACCAGGAGTTTCCAAAATTCTTTCACATTCTTTAAAACGACGCTAAAAATTCCTGTTTCAAACACAAAACACCAAATTCCCCCAAGATTTTTTTTTTTTTTTTTCAAAAAGGACCCTCAAGATTCTTTCACATTCTTAAAAAATGAAAGATACCAAGTTTTGAAGTTTCTCTCAAAATCTAAATGGGGCTCAAAATTTCTTCACATTCCTAAAAAATGAAGACCCTAGGAATCCTTAAAACTCAAAACAAAGTCAAAAACTTCATGAAGGATGGGTACCGAAAAATTGAGTTTTTGGATAAGTAGCCTAAAAATCCACAAAGAAAAATATTGAAATAAAATAATTCGACGAACTGATTTAAAAAAAATTAGGATTTACGAATACTTATGGTCGCACATCAAAATTTTCGAAATTTTGGGTTTAAAAGTAAAATTTTTTGAAAATGAAATCGAAATCCAGAAAAGAAATCTCGTTGGACAATTTTCAAAATATTCAAAAAAAGTCAAAAATTTTAATTGAAAATTTGAGTTTTTGGCAAAGTGGCCTAAAAATCCACAAGAAAAATATTGATATAGATCTCGATGAGTTGATTTGAAAAAAATTAGGTGTTTCTGGTCACGGATCAGGATTTTCAAAATATTCGCTTTGATACTCAAATTTTTTGTACATTTTAAAAACTGCTACAATTCATTTTGGCGATTCTGGGGAAAAACTAAATTTTCAAAGAAATGAATACGAAAATAACTTCATGAGGCCGAAAAAATGCAAAAAAATCTAAATGTGTAATTTTTGAGAATCTTCGATAGATGTCAGAAATTTAACTGAAAAACTGAATTTTTGAAAACAATGGTCTAAAAATCCACAAGAAAAGTACTGATCTGGATTTCGATGAGCTTAGTAGAAAAAAAATAGGTGTTTATGGTTTCAGATCAAGATTTTCAAAATATTCGGTTTGATACCCAAATTTTTTGTAAATTTAAAAAATCTCCACAATTCATTTTGGCGATTCTGGGAAAAAACTGAATTTTCAAAGAAATGAATCCGAAAATAACTTCATGAGCCCGAAAAAATGCAAAAAAATTCTCTGGGTAATTTTCGAGTATGTTCGAAAGATGTCAAAAATTTAACTGAAAAATTGAATTTTTGAAAACAGTACCTAAAAATCCACAAGAAAAATACTGGTTTAGATCTCGATGAGCTGACTTGAAAAAAATCGGTGTTTATGGTCTCGGATCAACATTTTCAAAATATTCGGTTTGATACTCAAATTTTTTGAAAATTTTAAAAACTTCCACAATTTCTTTTTGGTGATTCTGGGGAAAAACTAATTTTTAAGGAAATGAATCCAAAAATAGCTTCATGAGGCCGAAAAAATGCAAAAAAATCTCTTTGGGTAATTTTCGAGAATATTCGAAAGATGTCAAAAATTTAACTGAAAAATTGAATTTTTGAAAACTTGACCTAAAAATCCGAAAAGTACTGGTCTGGATCTCGATGAGCTGACTTGAAAAAAATCGGTGTTTATGGTCTCGGATCAACATTTTCAAAATATTCGGTTTGATACTCAAATTTTTTGAAAATTTTAAAAACTTCCACAATTTCTTTTTGGCGATTCTGGGGAAAAACTAATTTTTAAGGAAATGAATCCAAAAATAGCTTCATGAGGCCGAAAAAATTCAAAAAAAATCTCTTTGGGTAATTTTCGAGAATGTTCGAAAGATGTCAAAAATTTTACTGAAAAATTGAATTTTTGATAACAATGGCCTAAAAATCCACAAGAAAAGTACTGATCTGGATTTCGATGAGCTGAGTTGAAAAAAAAATAGGTGTTTATGGTTTCGGCTCAAGATTTTCAAAATATTCGGTTTGATACTCAAATTTTTTGAAAATTTTAAAAATGTTCACAATTCATTTTGGCGATTCTGGGAAAAAACTGAATTTTCAAAGAAATGAATCCGAAAATAACTTCATGAGGCCGAAAGAATGAAAAAAAAATCTCTTTGGGTAATTTTCGAAAATGTTCGAAAGATGTCAAATTGAATTTTTGAAAACATGACCTAAAAGTCCACAAGAAAAATACTGGTCTGGATCTCGATGTGCTGACTTGAAAAAATCGGCGTTTATGGTCACGGATCAAAATTTTCGAAATATTCATTCGGTTTGTAATTCAAGTGATTTTTTGAAAATTCTAAAAATTGCCACATTTTATTTTGGCGATTCTGGGAAAAATCAAGAATTTTCAACGAAATGAATTCGACAATAAATTCAAAAGTCAAAAACTTTATTCAAAAATTGAGTTTTTGGAAAAGTAGCCTAAAAATACATAAAAATCACGGACATAGATAAGGAAAAGAGTTAATGTGAAAAAAATTAGTTGTTCTTTATGGTAGCGAATTAAAATTTTCTGAATATTCGATTGAAAGTCAATTTCTTGAAAATTCTAAAAAATAGCTTCATTAGGTCGAAATAAGAAAAATCAAAACACCAAAAGCCCCCAAGATTCTTTCACATTATTAAAAAACGACGCTAGGAATCCCTGGAATTTCTACGAACTCTTTAGGTCAGTTAGGTTGTTATCTTCTCGGACTAACCTACAGTTACACCAGACGATCTAACGAAAAAGTCGTCTAGTAACCTCTGATATTTAATGTTAATAAAAATAGGTTGGCAAGACATGTTCCTTGTCCAGTTGACAGTTACGGTCAAAGAATTGTCCAATAGCCGTAATGCCAACATCATTATTTTAAAAATAAATTTCATGGCCTACTAGACAACTTTTTTCAATTATACAGCCTACCAAAAAAATATGAAAATCACGGAAAATTTATTTTTTTTTTTTTTTGACAAAAAACAAATAATGATCAAGAACTTATTTTAAAAAATGGGAAAATTGTGTTTATGTGAATTTTGAAATTTCTTGATTTTTTTGCAAACACAATATTACTTTACTCTACCAAAAATGTGTTTTTAAGCAAAAAAATTACTTTTCTCATTTTTTCATTCTCATTGGTATGGTAATTTTATTAGGGAATTATTCTAATCTTGGTTTTTTTTGTAGTTTTATTTTTTTTTTCGTTCATTTTTGACGTATAAGTTCAAAAATATTAAAGTTTTTTTGTTGTATGGGTTACGGTTTTTTTCTTTCATACACTGGACACATATTTACCACGAAAAAAAAATCCAAATTCTCCTTCTTTAGCACAAAATGCATAATTTAGTTTTTTAGTGCAGTTAGAAATAAAACTTTTTTTGTAGTCGATTAATTAATTTCTCCGGTAATGACAGGTTAATAAAACGGCCGCCAATTATATAATTATTTATTAATAATTTTACAGTAACTGGGACATTTACAAGTACGTTTAATTATAAATAGGTAATTGTAAAAATACGATAGTATCTACATAAGCTACATGAATATTTACAAATGCTAATGTACACTTAGAGTCAATAAATTAATGCGCAACATAGAAAAGATCTGTATAAATTATAGGTACATATACACGATTTGAGATACACTACATGCTGATTTTTCCATATTTACAATCGATAAATAAATATAAAATAACGACCCTCGCTGGTCCCCCAGCAGCATCCAATCCACTCCTCTCCAACTTCAAAAGTATAAGTTAGTATATGTACAAAAATGACTCAAAAATTCCGATCAGTCTTACATTTCCGTCACAATCTCTAATACTGATAATAAGCGTCGACCACCCCCGCCCTACACGCACGTATGGATGGTCTTTTTCGTTCTGCAAACGTCACACTTCACCTCGCAGCACCAGTGGAACGTACAGTTACACCGCTCGAAAACCACCACTTCCTGGGTGCGGTAGCCCCGACCGCAGCACATGATGTCGCAGCCGTCCACCCCCATGGAGGTGTCGTTGCACAGCCGCCCGTGCGTGCCCTGGATGCCCAGCTTGGGGTTCTTCTCGCAGAAGCCCGGACTCATCTCGTAGTACACCAGGTCCTTGGCCCCGGGCGGCTTGTGCTCGGGGTTGAACGGCTTCAGCTGGAAGCCGTACTTGTGCTTGCGCCGGTTGTCGCGCTTGCTGTGGATGCTGTTGCCGTTGAGGTTGTTGGACTTGGGGCTCTTCGGCGGCCGGTTGCGGTGCGCGTTGTTGCTGTTGCGGTGGTGGCCCGAGCTGGCGGCGGTGATGTGCGAGGCGCCGTCGAAGCGGTCCTTGAGCAGGTCGCCGATCACGCGGAAGGGAGGCAGCCGCATCCAGCAGGTCTTCACGGTGCAGGAGCCGGACATGCCGTGGCACTTGCACTCCTGGCGCATCTGGGCCTGCACGTGCTGGAAAAAAAAAAGTTTTTGAGAAAAGCTGGCTAACTCATGTTTTTAAAAAATAGACCAGAGAAGGCTTTACATTTTCAAAAAAACAGTTGGGAAATCAGAGAAGGTTTAACATTAAAACAAAAGACAATTAGAGACCCCGAGAAGGTTTAACATTTTCAAAAAAGACAGTTGGGACGCCCGAGAAGGTTTCGCATTAAAACAAAAGACATTTAGAGCTCCGGAGAAGGTTTTACGTTTTCAAAAAAAAAAAAACACTTGGGAGCCCCGAGAAGGTTTCATATATAAATAAAAGACATTTAGAGCCTTCCAGAAGGTTTTACATTTTCAAAACAAAAACATCTGGGAGCCCCGAGAAGGTTTCATAATAAAGCAAAAGACCTTTAGAGCCCCCGAGAAGGTTTTACATTTTCAAAAAAAAAAACAGTTTGGAGCCCCGAGAAGGTTTCACATTAAAACATAAGACCTTTGGAGCCCCCGAGAACGTTTTTCATTTTCAAAAAAAAAACCAGTTGGGAGCCCCGGGAAGGTTTTTCATTTTCAAAAAAAAAAAAAAAAACAGTCGGGGGCCCCGAAAAGGTTTCACACTAAAACAAAAGACTTTTGGAGCTCCCGAGAAGTTTTTACATTTTCAAAAAAAAAAAAAACAGTTTGGAGCCCCGAGAAGGTATCACATTAAAACAAAAGACATTTGGAGCCTCCCAGAAAGTTTTACATTTTCCAGAAAAAAACCAGTTGGGAGCCCCGAAAAGGTTTTTCATTTTCAAAAAAAAAACACTTGGGAGCCCCGAGAAGGTTTCACATTAAAACATAAAACCTTTGGAGCCCCCAAGAAGGTTTTACATTTTCAAAAAAAAAACACTTGGGAGCCCTGAAAAGGTTTCACATTAAAACAAAAGACATTTGGAGCCTCCCAGAAGGTTTTACATTTTCAAAAAAAAAACAGTCGGGGGCCCCGAAAAGGTTTCACACCAAAACAAAAGACTTTTGGAACTCCCGACAAGGTTTTACATTTTCAAAAAAAAAAAAAAAAAACCGCAGTTGGGAGCCCCGATAAGGTTTCACATTCAAACAAAAGGCATTTGGACCTCAGGAGAAGGATTTATAATTTCATAAAAGACGGTTGGGATCCCCGAGAAGGTTTCACATTAAAGCCAAGGACATTTGAAGCCCCCGAAAAGGTTTTACATTTTCAAAAAAAAACACATGGGAGCCCGAGAAGGTTTCACATTAAATCAAAAGACATTTGGAGCCTCCCAGAAGGTTTTATATTTTCAAAAAAAAAAAAACAGTTGCGAGCCCCGAGAAGGTTTTCCATTTTCAAAAAAAAAACACGTGGGGGGCCCGAAAAGATTTCACACTAAAACAAAAGACCTTTGGAGCCCCCGAGAAGGTTTTACATTACCAAAAAAAAAAAAAACAGTTTGGAGCCCCGAGAAGGTATCACATTAAAACAAAAGACATTTGGAGCCTCCCAGAAGGTTTTACATTTTCCAGAAAAAAACCAGTTGGGAGCCCTGAGAAGGTTTTTCATTTTCAAAAAAAAAAAACACTTGGGAGCCCCGAGAAGGTTTCACATTAAAACAAAAGACATTTGGAGCCTCCAAGAAGGTTTTACATTTTCAAAAAAAACACTTGGGTGCCCTGAGAAGGTTTCACATTAAAACAAAAGACATTTGGAGCCTCCCAGAAGGTTTTACATTTTCAAAAAAAAAACAGTTGGGAGCCCCGAGAAGGTTTTACATTAAAACATAAGACCTTTGGAGCCATCGAGAAGGTTTTTCATTTAAAAAAGAAAAAACAGTTTAGAGCCCCGAGAAGGTATCACATTAAAACAAAAGACATTTGGAGCCTCCCAGAAGGTTTTACATTTTCCAGAAAAAAACCAGTTGGGAGCCCCGAGAAGGTTTTTCATTTTCAAAAAAAAAAACACTTGGGAGCCCCGAGAAGGTTTTACATTAAAAGATAAGACCTTTGGAGCCATCGAGAAGGTTTTTCATTTAAAAAAAAAAAAACAGTTGGGAGCCCCGAGAAGGTTTTCATTTTCAAAAAAAAAAAAAAGTCGGGGGCCCCGAAAAGGTTTCACACGAAAACAAAAGACTTTTGGAGCTCCCGAGAAGGTTTTACATTTTCAAAAAAAAAACACTTGGGAGCCCTGAGAAGGTTTCACATTAAAACAAAAGACATTTGGAGCCTCCCTGAAGGTTTTACATTTTCCAGAAAAAAACCAGTTGGGAGCCCCGCGAAGGTTTTTCATTTTCAAAAAAAAAAACACTTGGGAGCCCCGAGAAGGTTTCACATTAAAACATAAAACCTTTGGAGCCCCCAAGAAGGTTTTACATTTAAAAAAAAAAACACTTTGGAGCCCTGAGAAGGTTTCACATTAAAACAAGAGATACTTGGAGCCTCCCAGAAGGTTTTACATTTTCAAAAAAAAAACAGTTGGGAGCCCCGAGAAGGTTTTACATTCAAACAGAAGGCATTTGGACCCCAGGAGAAGGATTTATAATTTCATAAAAGACGGTTGGGATCCTCGAGAAGGTTTCACATCAAAACCAATTACATTTGGAGCCCCCGAGAAGGTTTTACATTTTCAAAAAAAGACACATGGGAGCGCGAGAAGGTTTCACATTAAAACAAAAGACATTTGGAGCCTCCCAGAAGGTTTTATTATAAAACCTTCTCGGAGGCTCCAAAGGCCTTATGTTTTAATGTGATACCTCGTCGGGGTTCCAAACTGTTTTTTTTTTTTTGAAAATGTAAAACATTCTCGGGGGCTCCAAAGGTCTTTTGTTTTAGTGTGAAACCTTTTCGGGGCCCCCAACTGTTTTTTTTTTGTTTAATGAAAAACCTTCTCGGGGCTCGCAACTGGTTTTTTTTTTTTGAAAATATAAAAGTTTTATATTTTCAAAAAAAAAAACAGTTGGGGGGCCCGAAAAGGTTTCCCACTGAAACAAAAGACCTTTGGAGCCCCCGAGAAGGTTTTACGTTTTCAAAAAAAAAAAAACAGTTTGGAGCCCCGACGAGGTATCACATTAAAACATAAGACCTTTGGAGCCTCCGAGAAGGTTTTAAATCTTCAAAAAAACAGTTGAGATGCCCGAGAAGGTTTCACATTAAAACAAAAGACATTTGGAGCCTCCGAGAAGGTTTTACATTTTCAACAAAGACTATTGGGACTCCCGAGAAGGTTTTACATTAAATCAAAAGACATTTGGACCCGCCGAGAAGGTTTTACGTTTTCAAAAAAGACAATTAGGGCTCCGAAGAAGGTTTCACATTAAAACATTCAAACAAAGGACATTTAGAGTCCCTGAGAAGGTTTTACATTTTCAAAAAAGACAGTTGGGACTCCCGAGAAGGTTTCACACTAAAACAAAAGACATTTGGAGCCTCCGAGAAGGTTTAACGTTTTCAAAAAAAACAATTAGGACTCCAAAGAAGGATTCACATAAAAACATTCAAACAAAGGACATTTGGAGTCCCTGAGAAGGTTTTACATTTTCGAAAAACACAGTTGGGACCCCCGAGAAAGTTTCACATTAAAACAAAAGACATTTGGGGCCCCCGAGAAGATTATACACTTTCAAAAAGACAGTTGGGATCCCCGAGAAGGTTTCACATTAAATCAAAGGAAATTTGGAGCCCCCGAGACGGTTTTACGTTTTCAAAAAAGTCAATTAGGACTCCCGAAAGGTTTTACATCTTCAAAAAAGACAATTGGGACTCCCGAGAAGGTTTCACATTAAAACTAAGGACAATTGGAGCTCCCGAGAACGTTTTACATCTTCACAAAAGACAGTTGGGACTCCGGAGAAGCTTTTACATTAAAACAAAAAATATTTGGAGCCCCCGAGAAGGCGTTACATTTTCAAAAAAGACATTTGGGACCAACGAGAAGATTGATTTCACATTAAAACGAAGGACTATTGGAGCCCCCGAGAAGGTTTTACATCTTCAAAAAAGACAGTTGGGACTCCCGAGAAGGTTTCACATTAAAACAAAGGACAATTGGTGCCCCCGAGAAGGTTTTAAGTCTTTAAAAAAGACAGTAGGGATCCCGGAAAAGGTATCATGTTCTAAAAAAGTTGTTAACTCAACGATCTCGTGCAAAACAGTCTTTAAACAATTTGCCATTCTCACTTTATCCTGTCTTTATATGCATAAACTGATTATTTATGTAAAACAACATCTCTCACATTTTACAAGAAGGTGTAACATTCGTAATTAAATGAGCAGAAGTGCTAACGATATCCATCTTCCATTCTCCAGACTGTCTGTAACTAGCGTCACCAACCGTCCTTTATTTCAAAGGACTGTCCTCTTTTTGCAAAAGTTGTACTTTGAACTTTGACCTATTATCAAAAGACGCCATATGTCCTTTATTTCATTTTTCTAAAAATTGTTATATATACCTATTTCATTCGATAGCATTTTTAAAATTGTTTTTTTTTTATCTAAGCATAAGTGGCGCAAGGGAAAGAAACAGATGTTCTGTAGACTTAATAAAAAATGAACTCCTAATCTTTTTTAACATTGAGAGAACTCGTCAGCAATTTTATGAAATAATAAAACAAAAAAATTCCAAAAATGAGAAAAAATATAGTTTCAAGGTTTAAAATTCATTAAACGAAACCTGAGTTGTGATTTACAATGTTACTTATGGATTGTTTATAAATTTATCTATGTTTATTGTTTACAGAAATTACTTTATTTATTTTGAGTTTATTTACAGCTGATTTAAAAAAAAAAAAAACGGGACAAGATGAGCAAATCACGTTCTCATTGATCAATGAAAAACAATGGGATAATGACGTTCATGTCACTGTCATTTGTCCTTTTTTTTTTGAAACCAGCTGTACATTTATTAATATTTAAGAATTTGTTTTTCTTTGTGTTCTTTGTTGTCGAAGTCTCTATTAATTTTTTTACTTAATATACCTTAATAAGTTTTTAAAATGACATTTGTTAGGTAGTTTTAATGCTATTTTGGCAGTTTG